CCAAAGAAAGAAAACTTTTATGAGAAGGTAACTGTTTTGTATATGAAAGTTGTAGTACATCTGAGCTATTTCAGATGTTGATTTATCTTGGGGAATAAGCAAAAAATATCTTTGGAGTTGCTGGGAGGATAAAACTTTAGATAACTCTATTTAAATTTCTAGTGAAAAACTGAAAGTACAAATACTTCTTCAGAATGTAGTATTAAATTACAATTTTATACATTGGTAAGTATTTATTTTTATTCACAGAAGAATGCAGAAATACGTCTTTCTCCAGGTACACCTACAGCAGCAAGCTGGCAAACCACAGAATAATAACACCAAAGCCAACTGAAATAATCTTTAAGAGAATGCCCTCAAAAATTACTGGCTACTCTGTGTAATCAATGCCAGTGTGCAGTCTCAGGATGACACCTAAAGCCTTGGTTAATGCATGTAATCTGATTAATCCTCTTAATGCCAAGTATGTGCACTGCCAGCCTGTGACAGAAGTGCACAGGTCTGTGGAGACTTGTAGGTTGTTGTGCTCGGCTTTTAGTAAATAAAATATGTTGGGTAGCAAAGTGTGGGCTGAAAAAAAAAAAAAACTAAATGGAAAATGAAACTGTTCAGTTGGTCTTTTAGTAAATAAAATATGTTGGGTAGCAAAGTGTGGGCTGAAAAAAAACCTTAATGGAAAATGAATCTGTTCAGTCAGTCTCTACCAACATAATTTTCAGCTGTGTATTCACTGTTTTATCCCAGGGTGATGCCATGCTGTTGGAGGGCACTGTTGTGGTAGTTAGTCACCACATGTCCAGGGTAATGTGTATCACTGCAGGGCAGCTGCTACCTCAATATGTTTTCTTCCATCATATTTACAAGAAGGCACAACTACCTTTAAAGTTCAGTTTTTGACATTTAACAGTGGAAAGTCCCATCTGACATAAAACTGGTTTCCAGTGGTTTCACTGCACAGTGTGCCTGAAATGACAAGTGCAGCATTGCCTTCATTTTCCAGGACACTCACACAACAGCAGCATTAAGGGAGTGTAATAAGTATTGGGTAATCCATGATAAGTGCTCCTAACATAAAATTGTGCAATTGGGGAACCTAGCAGAAATCTAGGTGTTATGTTTAGGCAAGTTATGGTGGCAGGCTCAGCTTTTTGCAGGAAACTCTTCTAAGTGTATTTACTGAGCTTTTCTGTTTGTCTCTGTGACAATATGTAGGGAAAGCTTAGTTTGGCTGCCTTATTGCTTGTAAGTGGAAGGATAAGCTGCTAAATCTCTTATTTGAGTACTCATGTCTTTGAATTTTGTCAGTCTTTAAACTGGACAGCTTTCTTTAATAAACATTAAAGTAAAGGATATTTCTCTAAGGCGTAGAGTAGCTGAGATAATAACTCCTCTATATTAATAGCTACAAAATGAAAGCCAGTTCAAATACCTGATGACAAGTGGCTAACACTGTGTGGACTTTAAGGTGTTAAGCTGTCTCTGGAACTGCTTAGTAAGAAGCAACACAGTATGAATCTTAGCTTTTCCAGCAGTTTTGTCAGGCAGTATTTCCAGTCACTTGGCATCAGATGCCTTGACACCCTGATCAGTACCAAGAAAATGTTACAAGTCCACCCATCCATGTACCTCCAACCCACAAATGGTAAACTGAGTTGTTTGTTTTGTGGGGTTTTTTCACTCATCTGTATGTAAGATCAGGGTTGGTATTGTTACTTTCAGTGCTGTTTTAGTAAAATGTTAACCCAGTGCATTTTCCCAACATAGACAGTTCAGGAGTGACATGAATGTGCACTAGGTTTTTGGAGAGCAGAATGACAGCTAGCATAGGATATGATTCCTCTACCTATTCTTCTTCAATCCTGCATCAAAGCAAGAAGATAGTCTGTAGAATGTGTTTTGTATTTGTCTTTATAGTGCTCCAGAAAGTTTAGGCCCATATGAAGCCTTATGCCCACTGCCCAACCTTCTTGGACCTAACACCCACCTACTCAGAGTTTTCTGCTTCAGAGGGAAGTTCCTGCTTGGTATTTGTACCATTCATTTATCCTGTAGACATGTAAAAAGGTCATGAGAATGCTTTTGGGCATGTCAGGCTAATGAGCTGGGCAGGTAATGGAGAAATCTGTTCCTTAAATGATTAAAAACTCTGCTAATTGCTGTTTTTGCTATTGCTGGTTTATGGCTGCTTGGCAGAACACCATGCAGCAACAGACATGCAGCTACCTACCTCACTCTCAGCTCTCTTTAATAACCTTCTCGTGGATTTTAACAGTTTCCAAGGCAACTGGAAACAGAAACATCTCCGTAAACCAGAGCTTCCTAGAACTCTCCACTTCAAGTAGTACACATAGTAATTACAGCTTTCTCTTCATCACTGAGTTTTCACCAGATTTTTAAAAGATCTGCAGCTAAAATTGTCCCATCAGTGGCTTTGAGATTTTCTTCTCTAAAAATATAAAATGGTCATGGCAAGCATTGTTTTGACTTCTTGAGGAGATGTGGAAAAACATCATAAGCCTTCCCTTCTGAAATGCTAATTATGAGCAGCCCATCTGCCAGAGCTGTTTCCATAAACTAAGCAGGAGGGGTCCACAATGAAACAATTACAGAAATACAGGGAAACCTAGTTGGCAGCTGTCATTTGAGCAAGGTCTACCATGAGATGTGGTCTCAGTCTTCAGTGAGACTTTTAGCCATAGCGGGGCACCAGATGAGACAGCAGTACAGAACAGAGTGAAGTTTTTTCCCCTCTCTCCTGTAGACACAGGACCACATTTTTATAGAGCATTCTGAAAAGAAACGTCTTTATTTTGTATTAATCTGCCCAAAGAAAAGCTAGCTGCAGCCATTTTAGCAGAAGGTAATTATAGACATGGAGTTATAATCCACTAAGGCAATACTTTTGCCCAAACCTATGCAAGTAAAGTCATTTGTCCACATAAGCTTGGAAACAGCAAATTTATGTTTAAGAATGTCTAGTTATGAAGGTCTGGATTTACAGGAAAACCAGAATAAATGCATGAAAATAAATCAGCAAAGACAGCTCCACAAAAATCTATGCATTGTGTTAAATCTGCAAGGTTATATTTTCTAGATTGCTGTTCTGCTGTACTGATTTATTATACTATAGGTACAAAATGTTTAAGGCTGTTTCATAGTAACAACTATGGTTTTGTCCTTGAAGAAACTGGAACCTCAAGCCTAAATGAAACCACTTTGAAATATTTCACTTGTATGCTCTCTACTACTTTTGACTTTCTGTGCATGGCCCTGGCCCAGACAGCTTCTCTCTGTCTCAACTTTAGAGGTATTGAAGGTATTCTTTCAGCATTATCTTTCTATGAAAAAGGAATTTAGAGTGAAATAAAAAAAACCCAAAACCCTAAAGCATGATGAAAGAGAATAATGAAGAGATTATAGGTATATATAATATATGCATATAACATAACATATATATGTACTTTAATTAGTAGCCTATATTCTTAAATTATTAAATTCTTCAGGTATAAGTTTGAATGGTCAGATGATTCATCCTTTAAGATAAAAGCATATCTGTAGTGTGACATTCTCAGATCATTCCCTACCATTGGTAAAATCTCCAAAACATGCCTGTAAATGGGCAAGCAGAAGTAACAGTAACAGAACTGTGCTATCAGAGTTATGATGCAAAATTTGCCATTTTAGGAGTTGAACAGATGAGGTGACAGCCAGAGACACCTGTGCAAAGCTGCAGTAAATGGAAATGGGGTCACTCTGGGAAGCTGTTCAGTTAAACAGGTGGCTTCCTTGGAGTAAAAGGAGTGACTCTCTCCTTCACCTTTTTTATTTTGGATGAGAAGCATGGCTCAGCTGCTGAAATAAATTAATCTCGTGTGATTTGAGGTGCTGTAGGCTGTGATCTGGGTTCCAGAATGATGCAGGATTCCATAAGTCCCCTGTAAGGATGTCTCAGATTCCTGGGATATGTGAGTTGGGTTTAGCAAAGGAGTTCCACCAAAGGTCTCTGTGTTCCAACTTAGAGAAACATTCACTGGTGGTTTCCTCCTCACCAGCAAGTTACCTTCTAATGACCAAGAGAGCAGCTGGGGAGACAGCAGGCAAAAATCCAAAGAGAGAATAGGGAAAACATTAACTACAGGTGGGAGACAACATTAGGAACCAGCTGTGGGAGGGAGTTCACTGTAAGACTCTTTGCTCTACCACGCTTCCCAAGGGTGTGCAGATACTGCCCACCAGTTTCCACTGTGACACTGGCTGCAGTGGGGCAGAAATGTTCCCCTCTGGGCAGTGATGTGCCTTCACTTGAGTTGACCTTGGAATCCCTTGGTTTAGGCTCTTATATTTCTGCAGTGGGAAGGAGAATGCTTCTTATTTAAATATTGTATTTGCTGTTATAAGTACCTACTGGCATAATAATGACAATCTGATTGAAGGGAGTAAGAAGGATATAATTGATTCATTTTTCTACACATTTTACAAAAATAGCATTCATGCTTTTAAATATTTATTTTATAATGCCCTTGGCCACTTTATTTTTACTATATTGAAGTTTTATCTTAGGCTGAAAATAACTTTAATTCAAATTATAATGTCTGTATTGAATCATATGAATCAAAGCTTTGTATCTGGCATTTCTTCATTAATTTTCTTGAGAAATAGATTTGAAATTTTTTTTCAGTGTTGGAATTATTACTTCTGGTGTCAATTATGCTCAAACATTTAAAAAAAGTTATTTCCATTCCTTTTTTTTTAAGGAGGCACATGTTGGCAAAACATAAGTCAGCTTCACTCCTAATGTTCCCTGGAGGTCAGTTTTTAAAAAACGTAATACAATTAGCAAACTTTGATTGAGGTCTCCTGTTCTGTCTCCTTAGAACATTCCCTTTTGAGTTTTCTTGTTCTTAGTCAAATTCTGATGTGTGATGAACTGGTGTGGGATGAGGATCATTATCATTGTACACCTTGAGTTTCAAAATTATGTTTTGGCAATTTTGTCCAAGGAACAAAACTTGTCTGGAAATGAAGAAATAGATGATGATGAGGAAGAAGAAGAAATAGAAGAAACAGAAGAAATAGAAGAAATAGAAGAAGTAGAAGAAATAGAGGGAAAAGAAGAAACAGAAGGAAATGAAACAAAAGAAGGAATAGAGAAAAAAGAGGAAAAAGAGGGAAAAAATGACAAAGAAAAGGATCGTAAATCACCTGAGGGAGAGACAAGCAGTAGCAGTAGCACTGTGGAAACTGGAGAGGTAAAGGCATTTACTCCTATTAAGTTACTGGTCTCTGAAATAATTTGGTTCTGTAACTAACTTTAGTTTGATACATGTGTACCTATCCTGTAAATGCAAAGTTGTTGTTTGGGGTGGTTTTGGTAGAGGGAGAAACACATGTATGGGTTAATAGTTAAACAACTTTTCTTTTTTAAGCAATTTTGAAAGAGGTGGTTTTTTTTTTTTTTGGTCTATAGACAGAGGAGACTACTCAGAAAGAGACCATCGTTCAGCAGGGTAAGAGTAAAATTACTAAGAATTGGACATTCTAAAGAGAGATAAAAGTGTTCTTAACAATATTATACAACACAGTTCTTGTTCATAGTTGGCAAAGCAGTTCTTGAGAGGTAATGAAATTTGAGGGGCAAACCCCATTATTAATTGTTAATGATTTGAAAGAAATAAATACTTTTCCCAGTCACATGTTGCAGGAAGTCCATGCTGTGAGCAGTTCTGGCTGTGCAGTGCCAAAGTCACGGTGATTTTATTGTCTCTCAGGCAACTTTTTTAGGTGCCCTGTGCCTCCCTTCAATCAAGAAGCTTCTTAGAATTCTTCTCCATCTTTTTCAGCTGATATTTCCTTATTCTATTCACAGAGAGGTTTTTTTTAGGTGAAATGTGATAATTGCTGAACACTGTTCAGAATGCTGAAGATGTAAGTCTAGAAGTTCCTTGAAGTTTTGATGGCAGCTTATGAGAACTGAATATTCCTTTAGAAAAGCTGGGGAACATGAAGTTGGGTGCCCTATATGTATAAGACTTCTTTTATTTTAGAAATTTGGAGTAATCTGGAATGGTTCTCTTGAAAGAAGATAACAAGTGTATAAAACAGAGCACAGCCTTTATAATGAAGAAGCTATGCCATTTATTTTCAATATTATAATGGAAATAGCTTGTACAGAAGGGATGCTTAAATATTTTTCCATTATCCAGTGATCTGGAAGTTTTGATATTAAGTTTGAAATGTATATGATTCATACAGGGAGTATAGGAAAATTTAAACACAGGAACATCAACTGAGATGGAAAGTTTTTCCTTTCCCAGAATTGTTTCTATGGAATAAAATTCATGCTGAACCGTAATTCCTGCCCTAAAATCAGCTTTGCCAAATTAGAATATACTTGCAAATAAGTGTGCAAGACATTGTCTCCTGTCATCTAGAGGAAACTGTGAGTGTGAAGTAGAAATATTTTATATATTGCCGTAAATGTTCTGTTCATAAAAATTGAGCATCTGTAGAGTAGTATCCGGACAGTATATGCAGAGATTAAAAAATAAAAATACTCTTTTCAGACTGGACATCAAGTTTTACTGAATATTCTGATTGCTTTTTCAGTTTTATTTAGTGACATCTACTTCAAAAATAATCTGAAGAGTAATTTTTTTTCTGCTTGTCTGTAATATTTTTCTGATTTGCATGAATCAGAAGTTATTATAAGGATTTATATTGTTGTAGAGAAGGAAAGCACTGACAATCACACTGTGAACAATTCTTCAGAGAACACTGATGACCAAAAAACTGGAGGAACTGTGGGGAGAAAAAAGGTTTGTGGCCTGATGTTTCTTTCTAGCTTTGCCAAGTGACCAAGAAGCCAGTGGGCAATTACCAAAGCAAATACCTCAATTTATATAATCTGCATAGATTATTAAACTGCTGAGCAACCTGCTCCTTATGTTTAAGACTTGATGTTATTTTTTGATAAAATAACTTTAAATTGTCCAGGTAATAGAAATGAGTTAAAGCCCATGATGACCTTTTCATGGATGGCATGTCCCTGAGAGAGAGATGGTTTATCACATCATGAATTGGTGAGGTGAAAACTTAGGACTTGCTTCCTATGGGACATTATCTAAAAAGATTTCCCCTCCTACTTGTCTCTGAAAGCAGCAGCTGAGCTCATTGACCCTGCATCTATTTGCAACATACACTGATGTTGTCATCAGATATATCTCTCTATGTAGGTGCATGAGCATGTTGAGGAGTACCTGATACAGAATTTCTTACAGGTTTTAGGATCCAGAGGCTCCTGCAGAGACTGCTGAGGTTCCTGTTGACCAAAGGCCCTGAGCAGTAGTTAACTTTGACACGAGTGTGGTCTCACTGAGCACAAGCACTGTCACTTATGGCAGTACACACGTTTATCAGGAGGCATAGTAAGCACTTTGTGTTCTGGGGCTTCATGTTTGGACCTTGCCTCAGGCTCTTATTTGAAAGAACCCAAATAAATGCACCACTTACAGCATTTTGTACAAACTGTACAATGTGTAATTTGACAAAATGCAATCACTTTAACTTTTCTGATTCCCATGTGCTATTTTAACACATTTGAAATATTGCCAATGTTTCTCATTAGCATTTTTTAGTGATTTTGTTTTGAGAAAAAAAACTATTTTACCAAGGAGAAATCTGCCAACCTCATTTAACTTTGGTATACACAAAGGGGTTTGTGGTTTTTTTAGTGTTGAATTTCACTGCTAACTGTTTCAGTCATATAATTTACCTGTTTTTTTCACTCCAGTTTTCCCTATTTAAGCGAAAGCCACTGACAAGCCACAAGAATGTATGTAGCAGAAAGGAAGAGAGCTCTGAAAAGCCATTGCAGAGTGAAGAAAAGGAAAAAGAAGATTTAACTGGTGAAGGCAGTAAGGATGAAAATCAGAATCATACACTGGAGAATTCCAGTGAAACTGTGACTAACCAGGACAGAAGGATGAAAGTTAATACATGCATATTGCTGTAACACTGTTATAATATATGGGAATGTGACAGTCTTAAAGCATACAGTGCAATTTTTACTTGAAAACAGTTATGATACGAGATGTTGATGGCTGCTTTTTTTGATTGATTGGATTCCTGTAATATTAAATAGGCAGATGATTTTCTTGGTATTTATTGATAATTTTAATAGTTCAAAATTATATACTTATCAGCACCTTGCTGAAGTTCTGTGGCCTTACCTGTTGATGTTCTGAAGCAAAATATGGGGGGTTTTAATGTGAAAAGTTGAATACAGGCATTTTTTGTTTCTTGCTCAATAATTTTATTCTGTTTCAGTCTACAGAGTACCACTTTCAGCATGACACTCTTGCAAAATTATAATGTTTGATATATTACTTGGTTTAACTACCTAGTTAAGAATATTTAAGGCACTCAGAAATATACATATTTCCTTCTGTTTTGACATAGAAAAAACAGCAGTAAAACTTTCAAGTTAACTTGTAGGCCATTATGGAAGAAGTTACTTGAGTATGTGGCTAATTTCACACATGGCAGCAGTCCCAGTGGAAACAGTGTAAGGATGGAAGTATCCTGCCAAACTGGGACAGGGAGAAAGCTTTTATTTCTGAGAGGTGCTGAAAACCTTTGCTCCTGCTGAAATTGTCATAAGCTGATGGGCCTCTCTCCTACTGAATCAGGCCCAGTGAAAACTGGACACCCTCACTGTTGTTTCCCTTGGATTGTAATCCTGTATTCTCTGAACATCCACACCTTAATGAGTCTCCAGTGAAGCTTTTCTCACAGGAAAATAATGCAGCCAGAGGTACTGTGGCATCAGTATGACAGACTGATCATCATGGAGTAAATATTCATGTTTTTCTCAGGCAGACTGGCTTTTCTTCAGATGGACACTTAGCAGGAGGAGCCAAAAATCAGTACAAATAAAAACTGCTCAACACCGCTGCAGCATTAAGAAGCAGGAATTCTTCATTCAGCCAGCTGCTCAAGGGGATATCTCCTCCAAAATATCGTGCAGGCTAAGTACAGAAAAACTCCTGTTTAGATACTGTATTTTACGTACATAGTCATTGATTTTCCCAGAATAAACATACACATGATAAATAATTTCCCTGAAATCATAATTAAATTTTCCCTCCCATTTACACACATTCTTCTGTCCTGGAGGTCCCTTTGCTGGTCCCTGGTGGTCAGTGACCCCCAGTGATCCCTGACCACACAGTGAACTGCTGAAAGGTGGTACAACCGGGCTGGTTGCTTTCCCATTCTTCCTGAAATTTTTCTAGTTTCAGAATTGCTTAAATTTTATTTAATAGGTCAGAAGTGTCCAGAATTGATTTCATCCTAGGAGTTGGTTCACCTGCATGTCCTTATAAGTATGGCAGGTGCCCAGATTCTTTCACAGGGTTTCCTCTGTGCTACCATAATCATCATACTAAAAACCTGGATGCTTGTGTCATCCTTTCCCAGAGTTAATTAGGATCCTACCTTTGAGACTTTTATTTTTCTTTGGGCTACTCCTGTGTTATGCAGTGAATCTTACATGAGGGGTTTTTTTCTCCATTATATTTACATATTTTCTTATTTTTTCTGAATGCACATATGGTTTCTGTTCTACTTGGATACTGTTGAGAAGAGTAAAGTGGAAAAGGAGAAATAAAGTAAATGGCGCCCTCATTAATTAAATAAGCTTTAATTATTTTTGTAAGGGGAAATCAGTTACAGAAATTGTTACTGTAAGAACAATTTCTTTTTTAAAGGTAAACTGATTTAGTGAGAAATATTACTTTAAAATGGGAATTACCCTCAAAACTAACACTACAGAAGTTTATGTAATGGACTGTAAACTGCTGTATGTCTGAGCAGTTTCAGGGACTGGTACATTTATCTTGTCCACACACTTTGCTCAACAAGAAGCAGGAACATATTAACCCATTCCAATGTCTTTTCTACATGTCTTCATTTTTAATAAAAAAGATTAAACAAATAAAACAATTTACATGTGCATGTGTATTAACTTATAGGGATTTTTAACAAGTTCACAATATTTATGATAAAAATGTAAAGATTTTTTATTACTGAAATGTTTTCATAAACAGATGAGTAGCAAAAAATTCTATAAACATTTCTAGTACATCTTTCTCTGTTTTCTTCTTACTTTTCCAAAGATTAAATGCATCAACTTAAGTCTTTATTTCTTATTTTTATAGTCCTGCCATAGAACTGAGATTGTGCTTTAGATTTGTTTGGTTTCTAAAATTTCACCACTAAACCTATCACTAGGTGGAGTTTGTGCTCTTCAAAGGTGTAGCCAGCCCCTGGAGCCAGAAATTCTCCTTCTCATGGCCCCTGAAAGAAGTTAAAGATACTCATTCTGTATCAAATTTTCTGTTTCCAAATTCTCAGAAAACTTTATGTTTTCTGGCATATTGCTGTTGGCATTAAAGGACTCTCCTACCTCAGTGTATTTATATAGTGCATTTTGAAAGTTTTAAACTCTGTGTCTTTGTAAAAACATAAAGATAAAAAATACAATCACTCTTTTATTTCTAAGTATACATAGATGGACAGTGGTCAAGTTTGTAATAAATAAATGTAGGTCTAGATATACATGTTTAATTTAAATTGAAGTGGTATTAGTGCACCTTGCATACACAGATATTCAGTTCACTGAGACATATATGTGTATATTTATAGACAAATATATACAGACGTGTGTGCATGTGTGTGTGTGCATATGGATGATAAAATGTGTGCTTGACCTCCTGAAATTTCCATTTAATCCATGTATTTACATATGTAAGTTTACTGATTTCCAGAAGCACGGGATTCATTTATGCAGCTGCTGTTCCTATGCACGTTTGTGGTGACTGAAATTAAAAAAGGAGAGAACGTGAAAGAAAGCTTATTTAGACACTATTTTATATGTCTAAAGTTAATAATCATAATTATAATTAACTTTGTGCAACTTTTTCCTTTTTCTTCCAAGTATTACTTACACAATATGCAAAATACATCCAGTCTTTGTCCCTGAGGAATATTTATGTCATGCTGTTGACATTAGGGTAGTTGAAGTAAACTGAATTCATATCATGATGGTAAACCACTGTAAGTCCTGGTGATCAAGAATACAGAAACTAATCTTGCATGACTATTGAGAGACTAAGTCTGGGCTCACTTAAAACATACTGGTGTACTCAAACTACCCTTTGAAATATAAATATAAACATAAATATAAATATAAATAAATATACTATCTCTAAATTCCCTCACAGTGCTTTTAGGAGCCATATTATTTGTACTACTCACTACTTAGGGAGTTTACAACATTTGCACACTCTGTTATGTCTAAATTCCTTTAAGGACATAAATAATGTTTTGATTAAGTGTAATGAGACCACCATCAGTGGTGAGAATTGGAAATTGGAGATATTAATGCTTTGGTAGTAAGCCTGCTTTGCTCAGTATGTCATAGTGAGGAGCTCTAAAGTTCACACCTATCTGCTTTTCAAGACTCTTCTGGAATTACATTTTATTCATGCTATGTAATTACCACTTTCTTTTTCAGGACCAGATTGTAATGACTCAGCAAAAGCCTTGCAAAATCTGAATCTGGCTAAACTGTAGTTCTTTGCTTTGTACACAAAGAAGTTTTTATTTTCAAGACCATTCTCATTTAATGTCAAAACAGTTTAGACACAGCTGTTTCCAATCACACTCATCAAAAACTGAAGAGATATTAAGTCAGAATTTTAAGGGACGTTAACAGCATCAAGAATATAAAAAATACAGAGATTTTGTTCTTCATACATCTGTTAAACATGAGACCATGTATCTGCTGATTTACCACATACTGATGCATCAGTCAGTGTCTAATTGGGAATGCAATATTATCTTCCCCCCAAAATTTTCTGTTTTGCTCGCTGCCTAAGACAAACCAGCCCTGCCAGATGAAAAAGGCAAGTGGTGTTCTTCAAAACTTGCAACATGTGTACTTCATGTATGTGCTTTCTTCATATTGAAATTTTCCATAGCAAGGGTTTTGGCAGTGGAGAAATTGAGGGAAAGTTACTCTTGCCATCTCCTTTGTGCCATTTTTAGGATGCCACCTTTAATTGGGAAGAGTCAAGGAGATTCCTTCAGATCGCTGGTGTAGGGAGCAGGAAGGTGCTCAGGGATGGGACGCACAGCCAGAGACTGCTGCCCTGAAGAACATTTCAGTTCCCTAAAATATGCTATTTTTACAGTCAGGGCAGTATCTTCTTTTATATTTTTGACAAGGAGTGTGCCATTGAGGTTTAGGTGTGATGTAGGAAAGAAAGTTATTAGGATATAACTGAAGAAACTGTGTGATCATCATCTTCTGTTGTTTAAGCTCCCAGAACAAGAATTTCCATTGCTGTACATCTTCCTGGGATTTTTAGCCAATGCTGTCCTCTCCTAGGCTGACCTCTTGTTTTTCTTTCCTGTCTGTCATTTCAGGAAAAGCAGCTTCCTATTAACAAATGTGAATATGTCATTTAAAATGCAAAGTGAGCCAAGTGCCTTGAACAGGCATGCCCACGGGCAGGGAGGTGCCTTTTGAAAACTGCGCTGAGTGAAGAACCAACTCCGTATGAAAGGATGATCTTGGGCTAGCAGTGGTGTTTCTTGGCTAGCACTGGGGTTCCTGTCATGAGCTGACAGCAGCAGCACAGTGTGTGAGGAACTCTGTCAATCATTCCTCAGAGAGCACCGTACATGGCAATCACCCACCTGCCTCCTTCTGCCCATGTCTTCCTCTGAATCTTTTTGCCTTTTTTCCTCTTCATGCCTTCACCACAGCAGCACCTATGGAAGGTCTGTTCTTCCTCCCTGCTATCTCCACAGGTCAATCCCAAACTTCACTTCCATTTCAGCTTCTCCCAGATTCTGTCAGAGTTTCTGTATCACTATCACCACTAGTAATGAAGGAATGGGATAATTTTCAGACTAAGAACGATTTATTCCTCAGATAAACATCAGTCTCAGAGGCTGTGAGATTTTAAAGGAGCAAGTATCCGGCTATAGCTCAAGAGTAGTCACAAGTTCTTTGTTACAAGACAAAATATAACTTTCTAATCCAATGGACAGTCGCTACAAGGTTTATTTTGCTTTTCTAACCTATCACCTTTACTCACTTCTGCTGCACTGTGGATATTTTCACCCAATAGATTATTATCACACGTATACACATATGCTTCTATTTTAACTTTTAAATTCTTAACCTATTTTATATAGTCACATTACTACACTATAGACCCTTCACCATCTTACCCAATACAGTTTCTTACTTACTTAAGGTATATTCTTACTTACAACTATAGAAACATAAATTTAACATTTTTCTACTTAATGTCTGTGTGTTGAATTTTTACATCAACCCAAGCTTCTTCTGAGGCTGCAGATCAAACTCTTCAGTGCCTGTGTAAGTTTCTTTTTCCAATTCCCACATTTCTGAAATGTCCCAACGCTGGAGTGTCCCAACACCCCACAGAATGGCTCTGAGTGGGATCCCAAAGGGATGAGTATCTGAGCACAGCCCATGTGCAACAGGCTGACATCCAGAGGCAAAAATCTGGCCACAGGACTGGCAGTGACCAGCAGCTGGAAGGAAGGTCTAGTAATAACAAATGTTGAGTTACAAATGAGTATTTTTAAGTGTCACTGCCACTAAACATGATGACAAAGTAATAATAAGCTCCAAGGATTCTAGGAATTGTACAGAAGTCATGCATTATTATTATTATTTATTTTAAGACTGTCTATTTCTCTGGATATTTACAAGAGTAATTGTAAGTATCAGAGCATTTGCATTCCGGCAATTCCCTGGGCTAAAACTGTGTCGTTTGGATTGGGGGCCTATTAGTCATCCTCTTATGATTAATTAGGCCTTACTCAGGGGTCCCAAAACTTCATTACACACACATGGGTTGTTTGGGTATTGTTTTTATTTCCTTATCACTCTTTTACTATTTGGAGAAAAAAATATTAGATTGTTAAATATTATTAAAATTTTATTTTAATTAATTTCTCCTCTCCATTAAAAGTTGTATTTTTATTATCACTGTAACTGCAGTTGTTACAGCTATTCTGGCACAGAGTAATAAAATTATACTTCTGACCTGCTATTAAAAAAGCAGAAAAGAAAAATTATGTCTTTATATTAACTCTTTGACATAACGAGAATATTTTTTTAAGTCTCCAAGAGCACTTAGCTTTGCTTTGGGATTTATTTTTCTATTCAACCAAGACCTTTTCACACATTTCAGTCCTCTAGTGTTGCTTGATTTCAGTCTTGAAAATTTTCTTTCACCTCTGAACAGTCAAAACCTGAATTTTCCACGAAAAGCAGACTGGTTAATTCTTGTGTAATGCCAGGAGTGCCAGGAACTCCAACTTACCACGAGCTTAAATAGTTGGAATTTTTGCTATAAAAATTAAAAGCTGAAGTGGGAGAAGAAAATTGGACTGATCCTTCAAATTCAATATAAGTGACATTTGCTTAATTCACTCATAGTTCCACATGCTTCCTCCTATTAAAAGGTCCCTTAAGAAAACTACAAAAATCTAATTTGTTATTAGGAATTCAACATTTTTTTTCAAGTTGCCTTGAATTTGCCTTTCAAGCCCCAGTCTTTTGGGTGATTTCACAGTGCTGTCATTCTATCAAACATGAGGAATGAGTGTTACATTGCACAGGAAACTCCAGAGCAAACTGGAGTCAGGATGAATGCACACCTTGGCACTGACGCTTTTCCAAGGCTCATTTCAAACAGGCCATGAAGGATGCATTCCCACTGCTACTCATGCTCACACTTGTCTCTAAATTTGAGCTGTAAGTTGCAGACTGTGTTAGCTCTTAAATCTCTTGCCTTTCTCAGGACAGTTAGGACTGTCCAGGAGCTGGATGTCAGAGGAAAAGCAGCCCCGCAGGCACGCCCGCTCACTGTGCCCGCTGCACAGGAGTGTCCCTG